CTGCTTCAACAAGCAGCCAGATCGACATTACGTGTTCTAAATCTACACACAGCGGTTGCTGGGAACACATGGTCCCTGTCCATAATTCTAGAGCGTAAAAACAGAGCCACAGCATCCAGGACGCTGATAACCAACGATAACCAGTTCGCTGCTGATATACAAGATGGGCAGCGCTCATTGGAGATGCTAACGCTCTTGAGACATACTACTTAATTAGCTTGTAAGGATTATTGCAGCTGAAATAACGGGCTATATTTCATTAAACACAGTAGCATTAGCTCTGCAAACAGTATGGAAAAAGTCACGGATCTCATATACTACGGCGACAAAGTTATCGAGAGCAGTTGGCTTTTTAGTATCATCTTTGTATTTACTCGTCGACTCAGTACTGTAAGCCGAATTTTAATCTATCATGATCCAGTCGCATGAGCGCAATATTATTGGCGACGCCGATGAATAGTGTTAGTGATGCGTAAGTACTCCAGCTGATCTTGCATTTCCTGGACCGGCACCTTATAACGAGAGACGTCAATTTCACCTACTACTGTGGTGCTTAGCGTCGCTGTAGGGAAATAATTGTTTTTCAATACAAAAAAGGATGGAATTCAACACCTCTAAAAAGGATGTTTTTCAATAGTGAAAATGTGGTAGTGGTGTACTCTGTCCCGTTTATATGCATTACAGCTGTGTGTGCTACAGCACATTGATATTACTAGACATCCTGGTATGACACGAGACGGCGCATTCACCAACAGATGGCTGAACCGCAGTCATGAGCGACGATGAACAAGATTCAGAGGTCTCACCACCTGAGGGTGATACTGCTAACGTCGCACAGAGTTCATTTCGGTTTATCTCAACACATTTTACAGAAGATGCTGCTGTTACTGCGCTACATGGTATCGATACATCTGAATACAACCATCTACGCACGTATGGGTCAGATCGTCGCAAGAGTGCTTACACTTGTATTTCGCATGAGGCGTGCTCTCGTCGTCTATGGATCCTTAAGATTTAAGACCAGCTCTACTGATTCCACAACGACTTCTTCATACGACGTAGGAGCTAGTGTTATCCATAGCCAGTCGCTAATATACCGAAAGAGATCTGGCAATGACATGCAGGTAAAACCAGAGGTGGATAGCATTCTTCAAGGTGGCGCAGGTCCAAAACGATGCGTACTTCTACTACAGAAGAAATATAAACTTGACCCAACAATGTTAGCCAAGATTCCGGACGAAATCAAATTGAGGAACAGAAAAGCCAGTCTGACGAAGAAACTAAAAAAAACTGGGCGGTTGAGTTCAACAATGGTGCTTGGAAATTGTTGGAAGTGGATCAGTTGGCTGCGCTGATTAACAAGTGCCATCACGAAGGACTTAACGTTACCGCGCGTCTTTTCTAGTCGAGGCGTGACTCACGACATCGTGGTGATAACCATAGTAGCTTCAAAAATCACATGTTTTGCATAATACGTACAGAAGTATCGATTTCCATCCAACGGCAATTGTATTGAAAAGTATCCGATTTTGTATAGCAGATAAGCCGCACCCGACATGCAGGTAAAACCAGAGGTGGATAGCATTCTTCAAGGTGGCGCAGGTCCAAAACGATGCGTACTGCAGGAGGCACTTAAGAAGCTGTTGCTCTTTCATTTGGTGACGTAGGGCGCTGTTATTCTCCATCAAGCGAATCAATTCTGCATGTACCTTTCCGACCACTCTTGAGCCTTGACCTCTTTCACGTCTTGTGACTTGATTACAACCATAGGTGCTTCATATCGAATGATATGATTGGTATGATCTGGGGCTCCAACAAGCGCGCTATCCGCTTCATCCAGTTCTTGCATTAGAGGAATGAACACAATTTGCGGTGCTGTGTATTTGCCAGCGCTCACCAAAGTTACAACCTTCCCGAATTCGACCTCCTTCTCCATCACCGTCTTGAATTGTCGTATCTTGATGTTGTTGATGATGACATTTCTTGATGCTGTTGATGATGACTGATTGGGACGTCCGCCATTGCGATAGACGAGATCACAGTCTCATGCGTGGAAAGGTCGTCGGCTCGTTCTCCAGACGAACCATGAAGAAGGATTTGGACGTTCCAGATCATCGGAGCTCCTCAATGATGGCAGCAGCGGCCTTCTTTATGAGCTTGCAATCAGGGAGGCTCGAAGTGTCCATGTACACGCTCCCATTGTGCTCGTGTTTCTGGAAGATTTCGGTGAGTCCGCCGCCGTAGGATACGCCTGATTCGGAAATAGATTTTCCAACAATGCAGTTGATAAGGGTGCTTTTGCCGCTGTCAGGGTTGCCCAGAAACAAATAGTCGTCTTGGGCATGCTTATGATGGGTGTGCTGTGTATCGAGTCAATTAGAAAATTCGCTGGGCTAACTGTGTACTTCAATGTAATTAATAGGAGCGTTTTGTGGTGGCGTATTTGCCGGGAAAAAAATCACACACACACAGAGCAGCATGGGTGTATCTTGCTACAAGTTCAGTCATTTCTTTTGTACAGCTGTCACAAAAAAAAATATGAGGGAAAATATAAAAATTAATTGATTTTTATCCTTTAGAGTTGAATTACTTCACGACCCTACGCACACGTCGCGTATCTTTAATATTTTTCAGTCCCAAAATGTATCTTAACAAAGATATTTATCTCGATAATAATGTACAATAATCCTGTACAATTTGAGATTATAACGTGGACTCCATTACCCGCCTTTTCTTCATAGCTCGGGTGATCGTTCGTTTTCTCTAGCTATGTTGCATTCTTGTTATCCAGACATACGAATGGGTGCCTTTCGCTAGCAAAGGCACACGATAAGCTCTTACGTATCTAGTGATGGGCAAAATTTTCCGATGCGAGCGTTTCTGTATATCAACTACGAGTTGTTGCGAGCGTAGGCCCATCTTTCATTACACCTACGCATGCCTAAATGACTGGAGAATGGCTTGTACTTCAGAAATCCTGGCACGAAAACAATTACGTTCATCATTTGACTGATGGTCAGAGCGACGTTGGAGGGTTGACGCTGCTCTTCCGGGAACAGACTCGCAATGACATCGTCAACCAGGTTTAACAGATTGAAAACAGCACGTAAAGCCATCACTGCTGTTCTTCGAGAGAGTGGAAGGTACACACTCTTCTCCGCAAAGGCCCCCGTGCCATTGGCGAGGATCTGACAACGATCGAGTCCGTCCTGAATATTGTACAAAAGAAGGATGTCTGTTCCTTGGTGCTGTCAGTTTATTCGACACAACACTACAAGTGTTGTGATTCCAGGTCGCACTGTCTCGAGCCTTTTATTTTCAGTACAAGAAGACCTGCAAAAAAATTGAACACCTTGATACTGATGTTGTACCTCTCTCGTTGCAAACGTGGAAGGCGAATATACTGTGTTTTGATCACTACTGGTTCCTGCTCCCTGCAGTTGCAAAATCCCTACGGCTCCGCGTTGCTTGCAGAGTTGAAACCTCTGCTCAATACAACCGTTGTTGGGCTAAGCCCCTCCGACGACTGTGCTCTATAGAGCCAGCTACAGCAAGCGTTGACCCGAAGAATGGGGGAGCTATATCGTGTGCGGGAAGTTTGAAAAAAAAAACGAAGATCGATTCGGTGGAGCCGTTTTATGCATAATATGGGTGGTGTGTTTCCTAAATCCACCGTCCATCTGCACGCCATTTCCAGCATGCCCCAGACGAACTGTGTGTTTCTTGGAAACCCCTGCACCGGTAAAAGCACCCTCATCAACTGTCTTTTGGCAAACATGTCCTCAAATCACGCCTCTGCTACGGCGGTGGATTCACCGAATTCCTTCAGACACACGAGCACAATGGGAGCATGTACACGGACAATCTGGGCCTTGCTGATCGCAAGCTCATGAAGAAGGCCGCTACTGCTATCACTGAGGCCCTCCGACAGTCTGGAACGTACAAACTCTTCTTCATGGCTCGCCTCGAGAACGGTCGCGTGGGAGCCGACGATCTTTCCGCCATTGAGACTGTGATCTCGTCTATTGCAATGGCGGACGTCCCGCTCACAGTCATCAGCATCCAGAGGTCGGAAACAATAATTGTGATTCAAGAAATTATTGGGGTTTGCAATATAAAGTTGTAGTATTGGTAGTTGACCTTAACAATACAATATGGTATTTGACCAATTACTGACAATAAATATAGCAAAAGGCTCCCTGGGAGGACCCATCGAGTAAAGAAATACAACGCGACGCCAAGCATGACACGGTATATGCCTCTGGTGAAGATGATCCGGCAACTTCCAACATCGTTGAACGGCTTTTTTCCCAGTGCAAGCTAGTGATGACATCACAGCGCTGATCCATGGACCCCGCTAACTTCGGGCATCTGGGGTCCCTTCGCGATATGCGGGACGTTAGGACTGTAGCGGATGTGACCAAGGACCAAAGCGAATAAATAGTCTGCTTTATTATTAAAACAAAATCTTTTATTCTTGGTGGACTCTGTTACTCTTAATATAAATCTTTATGCAGTGATTTACATTGAGTTTTGGAATCGTAACAATTGTAGTGTGAAATGGCTAGGCAAGCCTTGTACACACGCAATAGACTCTTGCATGCGTGCATCAGTCCATATGGCACTTGTAACTCACTAGAGTGTTCAACGTGAAGCTAGGCAACGGCAACCCTATAGTACTGGATAGGAAGAACAGATAGGCACAAGAAAGTAGAGCCCATGCGCTTGCTTTCCGCAGAATTGAGTTTACTCGGCGACAAATAGTTTAGGAAGTGCCAGCTTCCCTATCCGTGTGTTCGAGTTATTTTCTTAAGCGAAACGCGTTGCAAAGTCGACTTTAGTGAGAAACGTTTCACTAAAGAAATGGAGACCAGATTTCGCAAGGAGGACAGTACTTGGCAGGACCGAGAGCAGGGTGGAAGACTACCAATTTTCACACCTGTGCTACCCCCGGACATAGCATCAACCTCACACGCCGCTCTGGTTCAATGGCGCACCGAGAGAAAGGTCTACGAGGACGTCATGAGAGCCCGTTGTCTGAACAACATCAAGAAACGACAATTCAAGCGCTGATGGGACGCATTCTGGAAGGTTGTGACTTTGGTGAACGCTGGCAAATACACAGTACCACAAATCGTGTTCATCCCTTCAATGCGAGAACTGGATGGAGCGAATAGCGCGCTTGCTAACCTCCCAGATCTTTTTATTCGGTAAGAAGCACCTCACAAGACGTGAATGAGGTCAAGACTCGAGAGTGGTCGAAGAATGGCGTGCAGAGCTGGCTCGCTTGGTGGGGAGCATTAATGCCCTACATTACCGAAAGGAAGAGCTACATGAGAAACCAGATTTCTTCCGTATTGTCGGGAAGGGCACGAATCGGTTTTTTTTAGATATCGGAAAAGGCATTGAAGATGCGTTTATGGTTATTGCTATCAGCTGGGGATGCTGTCACCACGATCGCAGCAAGCGCTCCGGCTCGGGACATCGGGAAGGGAATTGAAGATGGAGTCAACGCCGTGTTCGGCATCTTCCGAGACCTTTAGCACGGCCGGGGCTTGGAGTAATTATAGTCTTTTCACAGTGTGTTGAAGCTGTGATGCGTCAAGTCTAACACAAGCCTAAATGTCCGACTGAACTCTCGAGTCCATCCCTTATCTTAATGTTGGACACTCCTTCGACAACACTTTACCAATCATCGAAAATACAGAGGTTTTCCAACGGCTCACTCCTAGGCAATGAAAATTAAAACTAGAACTGCAATTCGTGGCTAATGAAAAAAAATTGAAGACTGAAGCAATCGCTTCATCAATGCCTTTGCCGACATCACGGAATAATCCGGACTTCCCTTGCAATTCTTCCATGCGTTGGCGAAGGGCGATGTTATCTTCACGCAGACGCCCCAACTCGTCCTGAAGTTCCAAGACCAACCGCAAAAACTCCTCTGCTTTCATGTCGCTTACTAATTCCGGCTTAATAACAACGGTCGGCGCGCTCAGGAAAATAAAGCGCGTTACGTGATCTGGTAACGTCACAACTGCGTTATCCTCTTCATCAAGATTATCAAGCGTCGGAACGAAGAGTATATGCGACGTAGTGTACTTGCTCAAACGCTCTTAAAGTCTCTTGTGCGATGCAGTGTAGAATGGAAAGTGAATTGAATCAAAAGCTTTGCATGTGCAGACTTCTCTAGGCTCCACAATCTAGAATCCTGCTAAACTTGATCGTTCCTTCGCGAAGCTTCGATGACCAACATTCACTTCAACCTGCAAGTTGGCTTTGTGTACGGCACACAATATGTGACAGTGTGCATAACAGACGATCTCAACACTCCCCCTCCACTTGCTGTTCCTTGTGCTCATGATTGCTTACAACCCCGCTTGTCTTCACCAACGCCATGAACTGAGGAGTAGGCAACGGCTTCGTTAGGTAGTCAGCTAGCTGGAACTTGGATACCACGTGCTCGATAGTGATGGTATTCTTCTGAACGTGGTCTCGGATAAAATGCACGCGAAGATCGATGTGCTTTGCGCGCGGAGTGTATCCAGTGTTCGTCGCCATACTTATAGCCGCCTTGTTGTCCACCAACACCTTCGTGACGCTGTTGACCTTCAGTTGTCTCGCCCACAGCACCTCCTGAACAGCAACAGCAAGTGCCATGTATTCGGCGTCGGCTGACGATAACGCAACTGTCGCCTGTTTCTTGGACTTGAATACGACTGGTCCACCACACATTTGAATCAACACTCCCGACGTTGAACGGCGAGTAGATAGGTCACTTTTGCACTTTCAGAAACCGGTGAGGAATTTGCTGCGTTAGAAGACCCGTTGATCTGAGTAGTAGAATGTAAAACTGAAAGTGAATTCAAATTGGTTAGCTTCTCTCTAGCTTCTCTGCCTGCTTCAAAGAGTAACTTGTACATGGAAAACATACATTTCCGCCTTCGATGCTGGTGCCATCACCAGCCAGGTACTTGTGCAGCCTGAATCTTCAACAGCGCCAGTCATGACTTCTGATTTCGCTGTGGACACCTTCGGTGCCCACCTTCTTCTAGTCGCTTGCTGCTTTTCACCCACGACACTGGCAGCTTTGTCGTGGCTTGATTTCTTCGAGCTGGACGCCTCCACAAGATCTTGGGCCAGCTGGTTTCGGAGAAATGGCTAGAGTTTTGCCATCTGCAACAGCCTCCCTCAAAAGCTACGCCATATCGACCACTTTTACCATGTGAAGCTGATCCCGTAGACGCTCGAACACAATGCGCTGCAGTGGCTTGGTCATAATGTCGGCGATCTGTTGTTGAGTTGGGCAGTATTTTACCGTCACATCGCCCTGTTGAATCACGTCTCTGATGAAATGATACCTTATGTTGATGTGCTTTGTTCGAGGACTTGACATCTCGTTCGTCATCGATTTGATAGCAGATTGATTGTCAACCTGCAGCAGGACAGCTTCTTTCGCTGTCCATAGTCGAAGTTCGACCAGTAGTTGCTTGACCCATACAGCGTCCTTCATCGCCATAGCGGCCGCAACATACTCAGATTCCATGGTCGACAGCGCGACCGATGCTTGCTTCTTTGAAGCCCACGAAATTGCTGAGCTATTCACCATCAATACAGCACCGGAGACAGATTTGGCATCAGTACTATCGCCGGTCCAGTCAGCATCGCTGTAGATTGTCACGGCTACCTTCGAGCCGACACCTTGCCCGTACTTGTAGTTAAGTCCAAACGCTGTCGTTCCTCGTAGATAACGAAGTACGCGTTTAACGCCTTGCCAATGGCTCTGACGTGGCCGAGCAACGAAACGAGCCAAATAGTTGACAGCTGCAGTAATATCGGGGCGAGTGCAGTTTGAAATCCAGAGCAGAGACCCGATTGCCCGTCTCATAATCGTGGTTTGCTCCATCATCAAATCATCGTCGAATGCGGTTGATGGGTCCATGGGCGTGCTGCCAGGCCTGCATTCGGCCATCCCCATTTCGCGGAGGAGTTCTTCGATCGTGTCGTGCTGGTGAAGCAGTATGCCGTCGTTGGTGTGCTCAATACTGATACCAAGACATTTAGCAGCCACGCCCTTGTCCTTAATGTCGAACTTAATGCCGAGTTGTCGCATTACCCAGTCACTATCAGCATCAACTTCACTGACGATAATCACATCGTCCACATAGAGACCCAGCAAGGTCAGCTTGCTAGTGTAGCGACGAAAGTAGAGACATGGGTCCATCTTGCTTCTAGTGAAGCCAAGCGACAGTAGAAACGCGTTCATCTCCCGGTTCCAGAGCAACCCGCTCTGCTTGAGACCATACAGTGACTTGAGCAATAGCCACGCTGTGCCGTTCGCTACTGGGGTGCCTTTAGGTGGCTTCATCAGGATTGGGCGGTCTAGTGGAGCCTTGACATACGCGTTCGGGACATCGCCCTGACGCAACCGACGCTTCCATAGAGCCGCAAGCGCCACGAGTAGACGAAGACTGGTGATCTTGAGTACTGGAGAATAGGTCTGGTCAAAATCAATCCCATATCGCTGCGTAAAACCTCTTGCAACTAATCGAGCTTTAAAGCGCTCGAGTTCGCCTCGGTTGTTGAACTTAATGCGAAATACCCACTTCGACGATATCATGTTTGCTCCTGCTGGAGCTCGCACAACTTCCCATGTACCATTCGCTTGAAGGTCAGCTAGCTCCTTCTCGATTGCTGCCTTCCATTCAGGCCACTCAGGCGTCGCCATGGCTTCTGTTAGATTTCTGGGGGTAATCATCTTGGTCATTGCGGTTCTTAGCATCAGGCTGCCTGAACCGGCAACTTTCCGTGATCAAGTCATGGGGCAATGAGAAGTCTGCGGTTCTTGACTTCTTGCGCGTACCAAACACACGACGAATGGCTGCTGCGCTGACGGGGACTGCCCAGCGTACTCGTCTTTCACCACTTGTTGCTGGCAGCGTCGATCGAGGTTTTGCTTCCTGCGCTTTCTTGGTTCTGTGAGCGGAGGACCCATCCCCGACTTTTTGAAAGAACCGAGGAGAGGGGACTTGGAATTATCGAGTTCGTCAGCGCCGCTCGGACCTTGATCACCAGCTTGATTGGCTGGATTTTTGTCGTAGTTCTTCTTTGTAGAATCAAAGGCGTCAGTACTACCTTCGGCGCCTGACTCACCATGTAGCTCCGCTAGTGTTGTTCTAGCCTCATTATCACTCACATCGAGCTTGTCTACGTTCTGGACATCCGCGCTCACGACGATCTTCTTCGTCCGTGGAATGAGAATCCGATAGCCCTTCTGCTGTTCACTGACGCCAATTACGATGCCCTTTTCAGCTCGTTTCTTGAGTG